CCAGCCTTCTGGTTAGCAGTCAAGTACCTTAACCACTATGCTACCAGAGCTCCCTTTATATGTATGTATATACACACACACACACACACACATACACATATATATTCCACTGAAGCAGAATCATACTTGAAAGTTAAAAAATGGAGGGGGTCACAGAACATCATAGTTATTTAAAAACGGGCTGAAACCTACTGAAATGACAAAAATTACCTTTGGATGTCTCAGGAGAAAGTTGACAGCTTCCTCAAAATACTCCAAATCTAGTTTTTCTAAGGTGGTAGGCAGGTCCTCATAGTCAAAGTAAGCCAAGGCCAGGGAGGCAAAGCCACGACTAGCCAAGAGACTGGACCGAAATTCAAGCAGGCCCCCAATGCCACCAAACAAGTCAATGACTGCTGGGAAACAGCCGTCGCCTGAACAAGGAAACCAAACAGAATTGTGCATGAAGAGAAGGTGAGGAAAAGAGAAGAATTAACATGGAAATGCAAAGAAAAAATACAGTACAGATTTTGGGATTAATAATACATTTCAAACAGAACTCCAAACTTTTTAGTGCAGATCTGGGACAGAGTTCAGGCCTATTGAATATATTATGGCGCACACTACCCAAAGTTTGACTGAGAACCGTATTCACAGACAGGTTTAATCCCTGCAGCCAAAAAGATGGTGGCTCACGGTGGTCTATTCTAAAAGCAAAAAACCGAACTCACTGCCATCAAGTTGGTTCCAACTCATAGCAACCCCTCCTTGGGTTTCTGAGGCTGTATCTCCACGGAAGTAGATTGTCCAACCTTCCTTCCTGGTTAGCACTCAATGCCTTAGGTACTACGCCACCAGAGCTCCTATTCTATTGTCTTGGAGAAAAGAAAGCCTAGAATTTAGACCCCAGGGCTTTTAACATATGTATAGGTCCACAGATAGGCATATAACAACAACAACAACATAGGTCCACAGATAGGCTACAGGAGATCTGTTAAAGTCCTGAAATGATACATAAAATATATGCACAAAATGTGCTTACATGTGTGTTATGGATTGAATTGTGTCCCCAAAAAATGTATATTGTGAATCCTAACCCCTATACCTGTGGTTAAGAAGCTGTGGTAGCATAATACCTAAGGCATTTGACTGCTAACCAGAAGCTTAGCG